TATACTAGTGTATTCATGCACCAGTTGTACTAGCATGTCAAATATACTAGTATACAAGTATACGAATATTGTATTGTTCGAATACATGGATGTATTGATATACTAACCTGCTAATATACGAGACTATCAATATACTAACATATCAAACTAACTAGTTCTAATATTGATACTAATACTAGCACTTCTGCGAATATAAGCTGCTTTTCAACCCAGCATTAAGACTGATACTGATACTACTAGTAGCAGTGGTGCTGTATTACTGACATTGACACTGGCACTAGCGCTAACTCTAGCACGAACATGAGCACTAACACTAATTTATAGTTACTAATATTGATATGTATACTTACAGCAAACAATAGTACTAATATCAATAATAATACTCATCCAAATACCGATACCAGCACAAAACTATTACGTAACTCATGTGCCGCACGTTTGGTGCATGCGTCCTCAGTACATGGCATGTCAAAGTATACGATGTATATCTACTGTAAAGGTCTTACTTTACAGATCATCGTCGGGTGTGGTGTGCTTAGATACAATATCTCAGCCGAGTCACCTGCCAAGAGTACAGTGTCACAAGGCCATGGTCTGTCAAGGGGGGGGGGGGGCGCGAGCATATAAATCTAAGGCACATACTCGTGCTGTACTTTAAGGCTGTTACTGTAGGCAGTACCCTAAACCCCGAAGCCACATAGCTCTAAACGAGATTTCCGGCAGGACTGCGGCCAGAAGGTGGGCGCAGATGTGCTAAGGCTTGGGACGGTCAGAGGGTTGCATTGTCCTTCCCAGAACCCCAACCCCGAAACCTTATAACCTTTTGAGCCCTGAACTTAAACCCTAAGCCTTAAAAGCCCTGTAAGCCCTACACCCGTAAACCTTGTAAGCCTTGAACCCAGTCCAGCCCTCTTAAAGCTCTCAAGCCGGAGGCAAGTGTTGATGTTAGCTGCTCTCGCCGATGCTGATCGCTTCGGCAAGGCCGTGAACGCCGCAGCGCCGCCCCCAAAGATCCGGGAAGGGTCTTGTGTGGTTTGGGCTCAAGGGGTTTAGGGTTCAGTTTTGCTTTTGAAATGGGGTTTCGGTTTAAGGGATTGGGCGTTTATCGGGTTTGGGGCTCAGGGTTTTTGTAGGTTGTGCAGGGGTTCCTTTGTTCCAGGGGCTTCTGTAAAGGAATCTGTTCAGGCTCCCTACCTGGTTCCTACAAAACGTTATTATACATGTATGTGCTGTCTTAAGGCTTTGCGTACCGGTTCTTGAAGGGTGACTGAGGAACATTGGTGAGTGTATGTACGTTTGGGGAGTGTGACTGTGAGGATACTGACAAGTAAATTAATCACATTTGAGCTTAGGTCACAGATCGAAGTCTCTATGCGATGTACATGCTGCCGCTAGCAACTGGCTAAGCTCAGACAAGCCTACAGCCCGCCAGGCAAGCTGCCCAGCATTTCATGCCTATGCACCTGAAGACCGGCACCTAACATCGTACATCCTGAGCCAGTCTGAAGGGTAACAACCCTCAACCCCGAAGCCCTAAACCCTAAACACTGAACCGACTACCCTAGGAAGAGTACATTTGACAAAGTCCTGACGGCCCAAAGCCGAAGCCGAAACCTCGACGGACGAAACAAACGGGGTGAAATCCTTCAAAGACTAATTTAGGGGCCTGAATAACTACCTCTACTACTTTTGGGGTTCCTTATTACAGTTATAGTATAATATACCACAAAACCTTATTCTATTTATTAAGGCCCCTAGAGTAGCGCATCAGGCCTCAGTCCTAAACCCAAGCGTTGTCGGCAGCTCCTACTAGGTGCGCGGCGGCGTGCGCTTCGACGAGCAGGTGCATTGCAAGAACGAGTTTAGCGGTTCAGGGCATCAGCATTCGTCTTTTTGGTTTAGGCCGGGGGTGGCTCTAGCAGCCGAGTTACCCATCTAGGGGAGTAGTATACTTTGGCTACTATAGGACAGTAGCCTAAGGTTCAGGGCCAGCGATTCTAGGGGATGTTCTTGTTTACCTTGTGGGCTGATTGCAGGCTTTTGGACGAACATTGCCATTTCGAGGGTTTAGGGCGTGTGTGCCAGCCCCATCTAGCCCCTAGCCTTAACATCTCGGAATGTCGGAATTGGCAGGGTAGTCCCCTAAACCCAAAACGCCCTCTACAAGGGAGTCCCTGCTTTTGCACGTTATCATTGGTTTGTGGTTTGCAATTAGGGGATTCAGGGGTTTCGAGCTCCGGGCTTCATGGTTCGGGTTTTTCCATGGTAAGGGCTAAGGGCAGAGGGAGAGAAGAGCCTAAAATCATACAGCATGCTTGTTGCTTTTAGTGAGGCATTTGCATTGCTTCGGATAGCAGAGTCGACAGACGCATCCTAAAATTCTGGCATTGAATTCAAAAGCGAACACGACGACCCGGCATTCCACACGTATTGTGCGGCAAGCCAGTCGAGGGCCGCGAAGGCACAAAGCCCGTTGGAGGTGGCGCAGAAATCTATGGACATAGTATGCGCTCACCAGACAAGGGTGGGATGTAACCGGCAGACGGGAAAAGCCGTCCCACCCCTACAACAAAATCAAACTGAGGCACATGGCAACCATCAGAGAGTTGCCAAAATTGGTGGCCACCCAGGCTGTCATGAGAAGGAACACTTCAACTAGCAAGAGATTTTCCCCAGTCACAGAGGCTACTAAGGATGCTTTGTATTCCGTTGTCGGCTATCAAAGCACCAGTCAAACTACCGTCCGAACTAAGTTTGGAAATCGGATTCGGACGTCAAACGTGCAGGATCTTCCTCAGGGGTATCGGCTGAGGCCATCCCTACACAGTTAACATACCCAAGACGTCAGAACACCTTCATCGAGGTGATATCGAGACATCAAACTCAACAACAGCATGAAGGCTGCAAGACCTTCACACTCAAATAGCAAGCTCATCATTCACCTACTCAGAAAATTGCTGGGTAGTTGGCTGCTCTCCAGGCTCCGGTTGAACGCATAGCCAAACGTCAGTTGCTGGGTAGTCGGCTGCCCTCGAGGCTCCGGTTGAACGCATAGCCAAACTTCAAACTCCGCAGGTTGCTGGGTTGTCCGCTGCCCTCTAGGCTCCGGTTGAATGCATGGCCAAACGTCAAACTCCGCAGGTTTCTGGGTATCTGGCTGCTCTCCAGGCTCCGTTGAACGCATAGCCAAACGTCAAACTCCGCAGGTTGCTGGGTTGTCCGCTGCCCTCTAGGCTCCGGTTGAATGCATGGCCAAACGTCAAACTCCGCAGGTTTCTGGGTAGCTGGCTGCTCTCCAGGCTCCGGTTGAACGCATAGCCAAACGTCAAACTCCGCAGATTTCTGGGTATCTGGCTGCTCTCCAGGCTCCGGTTGAACGCATAGCCCATCGTCAAACTCCGCAGGTTGCTGGGTTGTCCGCTGCCCTCTAGGCTCCGGTTGAATGCATGGCCAAACGTCAAACTCCGCGGGTTTCTGGGTAGCTGGCTGCTCTCCAGGCTCCGGTTGAACGCATATCCCAACGTCAAACTCCGCAGGTTGCTGCGTTGTCGGCTGCCCTCTAGGCTCCGGTTGAATGCATGGCCAAACGTCAAACTCCGCAGGTTTCTGGGTAGCTGGCTGCTCTCCAGGCTCCGGTTGAACGCATAGCCCAACGTCAAACTCCGCGGGTTGCTGCGTTGTCGGCTGCCCTCTAGGCTCCGGTTGAATGCATGGCCAAACGTCAAACTCCGCAAGTTGCTGGGTAGCTGGCTGCACCACATGGCGAACCCCGCCCCGAAGGGGATCTACAGGGTCCTGGGGCTCTACGATCTTCTCCCGCTGTGGGAGCGACTCGGGCCCTTTTTAGTGAGGAAGAGTCTAAACTCTCGACTCCTAGGGATTTCCATAGGGGCACCGACCTGGATAAGCTACATATCCCTCTGGCTCCAGATCCTAAATACTTTAGTAGTTTACTAACCATATATTCTATACCCCAGTAACCTACAGTACTATTTAGGGAGCTGGAGCCCTAGGGCATGTCATATTCGGGAATCCATTTCTTTTTCTGCTTCTGGTCCGAGGCATTCGCGACCCTGATTGGAACGCTACTCGCCAACGAGGCCGCTCAACTCCTCCAAGGTGACCCACAGATGGCATTTCTACGATGCAGGTTACCATGTTCAGAGCTTTCGAGGTTGGAAGCCCCGAACAGGACACTGAAGCTGTCTAGAGTGCATCATAAGCGCTGAGAGCAACCCCGCGACGAGACCCGAAAGCCCAAAGATACATTAAAACCCGTACTAGGTGCCCAAGCACCCAAAGACCCCGACTGTTCAAATCCCCAAAGCATCTGACTCGAGGCTCCGCTAGGACACCTTCTGAGGCCCTGGTAAGTTGTGAAATCCCTATGGAGGGCCAAAGGCACCTTCACCCAGAAAAGGCATCCATCCCTCTGAAGCCCTTGAGACAAGCCTTACAAGGCAGCTAGCACCCTTATGATTCAAAAGCACCTCAAGAACCCCTTACTGCCCTTTTAAGCCCTTCAAATTCCTAGCCTTTGGGCTGAGAATCGGGGATTTTGGGGCGTCTATGGAGGCTCCTTGTGCCCTAAGCGCTAAAGCTACAAGCCCTTCTAAATTAAAACAAAGCCCAACATTTTCTATAGTCTAAAAAGAAAGACTTAACCCTGAGTCCAGAACCCTTAAACCCTAAAGTCCTAAACCCTAAATCCAGAACCCTAAAGCCCTACAAAGCCCTACATCCCTAAACCCCCAAGCCCCTTAAATCGGCCTTATTAGACCCTTATCACGTCAATACCAGGAGTATTCAGGGCCCCCCCTCTCCCCTAGCCCTCTCCCTAAGGGTCCGAATGGCTACTATAGAAACCTGATTAATTGCCAATACTGTTCCAAAGGGCCTACGGGTTCCTCATTATAGTTATAGTATAATATACCCCAAAACACTATTCTAATAGAAAGTAAGGACCCCCATACTAAACCCTTTTGAAGGCTCCCTTTGCCATGGTCCGCTGCGCCATGAACTTCGGGCTGCCCCAAGCCGCTGAGCTGCAAAAGGGTTCATTGCTCGGAGGGGTCCTAGGATTGAAAGGAATAGGGTTTTGGTATACATTATAATCTAGTCAGTATATAAAGACCAACCCATCAGGGCTGTTTTCTATAATTATCAGGGGCCTGAACGATTAGAATAGGGTGGTGGGATAGTATGATAAAAAGGAGCCCCCAAAATATTTGAGGGGTCCATCATAAGGGTTGCCTCAGGGCTCCCTTAAGACCTTAAGGGTCAGGTTTGGGAGTTTTGTGTTCTTTGGGCTTCGTTGTTTAGGTCTTTAGGGCTCCATGATACACGAGGTCCTTGAACTTATCCTAGTTCTCAGCCCGCAAAGCCCAAGAGCCTTGAAATGGGCCCTGCGCAGTTCCTTAAGGGATCAAGGCCATTATGTATTGCAGGTATGCTGGGGTCGAAATAATAACCAATGCTATTCCTATCTATCCCTTAGAGTCCCTCCGTTCATCGAGTATGATAGTACTTCAAAACCTGCTCCTATTCCAAGTATGAAGATCTTCACAGACGGTTTCAAACTGTTGAGCTTTCCGGATCCGGAGTTTAGGATTTAATGATTTATGGTTTCGGGTTCTTACGGTCTTAAGGCTTCGGAGGGGGGCCGGAGTCAAAATAGCAAATGAACCTAAACTCTGGGGAGGGGGACGCTGTGGACGCTTGTTTGTTCCAGACGGGATCACAACATGAAGCAGTCGCAGCTGAAAGAAACCCTATCCCGTCCCCTTCTGAAACTCAAACAGCCCTAAAACGTAAATACGGATAGACCCTCCAAGCCCGGCATGAACTTGTTCCTCGACCCCCAGCCCCCAAAAGTAGGTAAAATACTGGTCCAAAACCTGCAAAAGGCTATTATGCTACATACTTTTGGGGTCCAGGTAGCAGTAGATCCTCAGCCCTGGCCCTCGAGACCAGACCCTCAGCCTTGAACCCTGGACCCTGGGCTCCAATCCTCAACCCAAACATCCTCATTCCAAAGGGTTTAGGGTTCCAATCCTTGACCCCGAAGCCCGAAGCAAGAAAGCTTAAACGGCACTAGATTTTTTGATATTTGAGGCTCATTACGGGTAGGTGCTGTGAGACTCAGGATGTGGATGTGATTCCGCTCATACCACTGGACATTCGCGAGAACGAGACTAGCCTAATTTGAGGCTGGAAGGGTATAATTAGTTATCGGAGCTGCCAAGTACCCTTTCTGTGGTTTGGAAATATCGATTGTGTTGACAGGTAGCCGGCTTCTGCAGGAGAGGGTAGTTGGGAGATCTTGATGGTTGCTTGCAACAAATCTGGCCCGTGTGTGCAAACAGGAAACCACGCAACGCCATGAGCCCGGCACCGGAATGCATAAAAAACCGACAGCCATCCTGCGCTTAAGTGTGTCGGTCGGGGCGGTTCCGGTTAGCACAGCGACCTACCGTTACGCGCCATGGATGAGGATGTGGTTGGGAGCCGAAGCATTAGAGACGATTAGCATTAATAGTACCCCCTCCCAGTCTCTACAATCAAGTTGTCAATCTGCACCCAAGTCCTATTGAAATGATGAAGGCTTCTGCGGTACTTGTGAGGTTTGCGGTTTCCTTGCGGCCAGGCTCCTTCTGCGATGTAGTGACCATTAGTGACCTGCTTTTTTCATGTCGAGTGGAGGAGCCATAAGGGCTTGAGGGTGGACAGCCAACCAATACTTAGTGTAATCCACTTAGAATTATGTAGTTCTTGGTGGGATTGCATAATGCAGGCAAAGGACCAACGACTTCAATGATGCATTGCATCGCTATGGTGGCCCAACCATCCCAGAATCCGGCCCGTCCCAGCTCTTCCCTAGGTGCCCATGTTATAGAGAGGTCGGAATATTTGGCAACAGTAGTCCCTTATAGTCCATTTATAATGACAGCACAGTAGATCTCAACCCCATCGAAACCCCCTTCAAATTGTAATTGTTGATGCCCCCATGGTACTGTTATAGTATAGACGTTTGCCATCTTTCGCCTACCCAAAGCGCTAACTACATATAGGTACTGTGGCACTGTAGGACATTGTAGGATCGACATACACACTCTATAGCCGCCGGGACTCACAGTTAAGGTCGTGAAGTTTAGGGCTTTTTGGCAGGGTCAGCTAGATTCGCTCAGCCGCACTGACCCAACTGCCTAAACCCGAAAGCCCTTGCCATGTGAAGCCCCCAACCTCAGCAGGAGTGCGAACCACACTCTGCTGTTAAGGAACTACAACAGAAGTTTGCGAACCATGACAGGTATCTAATCAGTGAGTGACTGAGTTTTGCGTGAGTGACTGAGTGCTTCTGCTTCCGTGTGAGTTCTGCTGTGCCGCACCGCAGGGCTTTTTTGGCCCTTGGGTACGGCCCCCACTCAGTAACAGTTGGATAATATTCATAGTATAGATATATAAGGACCGTAATAGTACCACTATTATAGACTGTTATTGTATGGGGGCCTAAATTCAGCCAACTCAGCACCCAGGAGTGGGGAGATGCTTTCAAGGGCGCAGCACAGAACGACCTCGGCGAGCTGGCTGCTTGGACAAAACGAGGGACCAAACCCTAAGCTCCAAACCCCACACCATGATGCCAATCTTCAGTCGTCTCAGTCAAAAGCTGAGTGTTGAGAATTCCGGGGATTCAGTGAGCGGCAAGGTTGCTGAGTAAGCTGTTGGCCGAGGAGCCGTAGCTTACATTTTCCAAACTCGTCCTTTTTTACTGGCGCAGTGACCTAGCGGGAGGCGGGTCTGAGGACAAGTGTTCCAAATCAACTTCCAGCCCTCAAGTTCATAAGGGAGTTTCCGAAAATTAGGGCCTGATTAGGGGTACCTTATTTGGGGGGTCCTTGTTATGAGGATCCTACTGTTCAGGGTGCTATTTTTGGATCCCCTACTTTCGGAAACTCCCATACGGGCTTCCCGAGGTTTGCTTCGCCACCCTCCAACTGCCCATAGTAGTAGTAGACCCTACCATGCCCTTTCTATAGGAACTATAGAAATACAAGTAGTGTTGTTTGATGGCAACCCTAAACCCTAAACCGAATTCGATGGGCTGCTTGCGTTCAGGAAAGCCTAGGCCTATAGGCCTTCATCCCCAGAACCGAAGCCGTAAAGTCTAAGCAGGGCTGTCCCTGAAGCTCTCGCGTCCAGAAACCCAAGACTGAGATCCTAGCGTTTAGGGTTTAGAGTTTCGGACGGTTTCGGATTTAGGAAAGGTTGAGGACCGGTGTCTCAACAACACAAAAAACCGCACGTAGCACTGAGGATCTGGACCTCGCATTTCGGGACGAGCTGGCGCCTCCCATCCTCGAGCTGCTAGTTCTATTCAGACTCTCATTTTCCGTTTTTGGAGAAACAATAGGGTTTAGGGTTATATATTATATAGACTTTCCCCTTTCACGTTGCAAGAGCACCGTATGGAAGCACGAGTTGTCAACACCTGAAACCCCAACATAGCTGTCTGGATACTTTACTAAACGCAATCGTGCAGAATTAACCCCTTAATTGTATGCTGTATGCTACACTATACCCCAATACCTTGTTCAAATCAAGAAGGCTCCTGTATTGCGACAGAGCATCGTCAACCCCGAACCCACGAGATAAAAAAAACAAACGCATCATGCTTCCCCGACCCCAAACCTTCCAATCCACCAGGCCTTAAGCCCTGAAAGCCTGTACTCCACATCTACACAAGATTGAGCTGATGCACTATATCAACGCACGTGCGCTTTCTTACAAACGGAACATCGCCCCGAAATTATGGCTATTCTCCCGTGTTATGGTACCTTTGGCCAGGCTAGCTAAGCCATAAACCTCCAACTGCTCAATACAGGAGCTTGAGTAATACTATACCCTCACAGTTCCTGTGAGTCCTCTGTAGCTGTTCCATAACACACACTCACAAGCCCCCAAAACATCCCATAAACGCCTTAAGCTGCAAAACCTAGCTTCTAAGATTGCTCAGGTATGCTGGGTGCATGCGAAAGAAGGAGCTCAATGGACTCTACCAAAGCTTCTCGTTTGCGACGAGATCGGTTGGGTCAGTCTTTTGTGCCTCTCTCCTTTAGGGTTTCAAGTTTGGGGTCGAGAATGATTTCGGGTTTTAAGAGTCGATTGTTTGATACATGTGTGTATAATATGTGGTTACATTCATATATATATATATATATTTATATTTATATGTATTTATACATATGCCCCCATACTGGGGGATGGGCACTCACTCGCACCCAAACGGACCCCTTACCCTCAACTCCTAACGCAGCCTAAAGCCACAAACACGAAAGAAGCTTTTCCAGCCGAGGACACGTTGGCAGGAAGGACCTCCTTGGCCACCTCCGGCTCCTTTGGTGCTGTGGAGCGGGGTTGCGCGGGGGCGGGGGGGAGGGGTCAGGGTTAAGGTTTGGGGGTGGTCTTAAACCTAGGGATCCTTTCAGGGGGCTCGGTGCAGGATTCATCGTATTGCAAGGCTTCAATGACCCCAAAGCACCGACGATGGGTTGAACATTGCGGAGGGCTTGGTGCTATAGGGGGATTTCACAGGGACTCATCGCGTTCTATAAGACGTCTCTTGAAGCAGAGGGGGCTTGGTTCAAGCACTACAAGGCTTTAGGGTTTGTAAAGTCTAGGGAGTAGACAGCATTTGCCCTCCAATGCCGAACCGCAGCCTCAGCCAATGCAAGCAGCTTCCTTCCACCGAGCGTTTTCCATATCTTGGCATTGCTTGTTCGTGGCAACATTCCAGACCCTGAGACCCTACACCCTAAACCCAATGCTATGATGAGACTCCGGACTCTAGAGCTTGTTTCGGTGGTACTCTCGAAGAACGAGTATGATGAGATGAGACAGGTTATCACTACCACTGTCCCCACTATCTTCTCACTGAGAACTCTGGCAAGCCAAGAACCCCAAATATATACCTCGAGCAGTAAGATCTCAAGTACAAACACCCCCAAGCCAAAGCCAGTTTCTCCGAGAGCTGCATATGGGTTTACAAGCCCCGACAGCCCTGAACTCGGTGCTAAGGCCCATCTACGAGAAGCGGCTGGGTATTGCCCGGCGGTTCTGCGTTTACTTCTGGGATCCATCGCTGACGAATCTGGGACCGCAGAGTTCAGGGCATGAAGGGGGTTGCTAAACAGTGGTTCTTGAGGGCGTAAATTGCAGTTAATTAATCGCGCTGAGGGTATTAGGTTATTCTGCGGTTTCATGGTCTTGCCGTGTACTACTTGGGCAATTCTATTCTCATCAGGTCCAAGACCGCAAAAAGCAGTGTTGAGTAGCAAGCCTCTTCAAGCCAGAACAGAGGCAGAAAACCAGTGAATCTGTAGCGGTGCATTCAGTGCTTGCTAGACAGGACTGCTGCAGCTTCAAGTACGCGCTTGACAAGCAATCGTTGCTGCGATTTTGCAGTATCTTAACAACCCGAAGGCGCGCAAATCCAAAGCCCAAAACAACTACCCAAACCCAGAGAACCTGAGGTTGCTTTCCTTATGCTATAGTCCTTTGAGAAGGGTTGGCTTTGAGAAGGGTTGGCTTTGTCGGCTGCAGGAGCACCTTCGGGTGCCCACCAGCCTTGACTAAAAGAATTACGGCTTGACAGCCCCGAAGCTCCTCTAAGAGCACCTACGCCTCGAACCAAGCAGCCCTAAACCCAAAACCCCTAACCCCCAAGCCCTAAACCCCTAGACCCCCGACCCCCAAGCCCTAAATCCCCAAAACCCTAGCTAAAGATCCCCAAAGCCGAAAAGCCTAGAAACCAAGGAAGGACGAGCAGGCAGGAGCCTGGGAGAAAGGTTGGTACTTGGGATCGGAAATCGGAGACTCGGCTCGCCAATTACGTTTACGGCTCAGCTTTGGGCTTAGGGTTTAGGGCTTGGTGCTAGGGTTTAGGGCTAGGAGTTTAGGCTACTAGGAGTCAAGGGTTTAGGGCGCCATAGAGTGTAGCCTTACCCCCGACAACTATACTTCTTGGTGCGTTTCGTTTGATTACAGGATTTCGGTTGCTAGGGAAGGTCGAAAGGTCTGCTCAGACTGAGCCCCTTCTTTCTCTTGGTTAAAGGGCGAAGTGGTGAAGGGCTTCAAACTTCATTGGATGCTGGGCTTCAAAAGTGTCGAGTTGTGGGATCATGGGGTCCGGGTTCGTGTTCAGGATTGAGGCAACAATCTAACCGCCCAAAAGCCTAAAGAAGTGCCAGCATATACGAATATGATTCCTCGGGGTTCCTGACTTCAATGTCTTATACCCCCAAAACCCTGTTCTATTCCTTAAGGCCCCGCATACTGCGCGTGTTTGGATGTCAGGGCTGTCTTCCCAAAGCCCTGAACCCTTCAGCTTTGGACCAAGACGGGTTAGAAGTAAGGTAGCTATAGCTATGCAACTTTTATTCCCTTAGTTAAGACACTTACTTCCCTACTAGATAGTCTTCCAAACCCTAAACTGTTAAACGGGCCCGTGGAAAGGAAACACCCCGAGCAAACCATACCTCCAAGATGGCTCAACCAACACCAGCACAGCAAGTACAAACTGAGGGCAAAGCCGGCAAATTCAGATCTAACATGGGCATGAAGACTTTTGAGCTTAAAGTTGGGGGCTTACGGGATATGGTGTTTAGGAACTGTAGGTGTGAGGTTCAGGATTCAGAAATGAAGAGGTTTAAAGTGCACCCCCGCTGCGCGGGAGCAGTGAGACAACTTCCCGCTTCGTCGTTGTTGGCGTGGTTCTCAACGAAGCCAGCGTCTGGGCACTGGCACACCCCAAACCCTGAACCCAGCAGGCCTTAACATTAAAACCATATTCGCATCTTGCCGAACCCTGTATAGACCCTATAAAACCCCGCGAAAACCCAACAACAACCTTGTCTGAACGGAAATAAGAACTCTAATCCTGCCAAGGTGGAGGGGGCCACACTTTCGCTCGGTGCGTCGTGAAAAGCCCTCCAGGCGAGGAGGACGTCATTGGACTTGCTGGGGGAGTTACTGTAGCGTTTAAGGTTTAGGATTTGTAGTTTAGAGTGTAGGGTTTATTATGGTTTAGGATCTGGGGTCAAAGGTTCTGGGTGTGGAGGGGCCTTCTGTATCTGCATCTTTACATTGTGTATATATATATATATATATATACATATATGTGTGTATATATACATATAAAGGTATATACATATATCGAGACATATACAGTAATATATTACAGATATTAACTATACAACAACAAAGGACAATATCATACAGGACTGTTACAATGATATTCGATGCCAAACAGTATTAAACACATTATGCTTTACAATGAAATTCACTGCAAATATTTTGAAGCAATGTTATACAACTATATTTTACACTACTATCACAATACAATGTTCTGTATAATAGTATTGTGTTGACACTCTAGCTTAACCGCTAGGCGTAAATGCTCCCACCCGTCGAAGGGACGGAGAAGCAAATGTCGTGTAGAGAAAATAGAAGGAAGGGAGCGGAGAGTCCGGGGAGATGGGCAGGCTCGGAGAACCCCGAGATGGTTTGTGGAGGGCGTGGGAAGCCAAAGCCACAGAAAAAGAAGTTGGATTGCGCTGCACGCACCCTTTTGTGTTAAAGTTTAGGGTTCAGGGTTCAGTGTTGAGAGGAGCGTCGGCCTGGGTCTTAAGGGCGTAGGTAGGGCTCGGCTGTCGCAATCTGGGCCGGGCAACACTAGCCCCGAACTGAAATCCGTTGCATCCTCAGCCTTGACGGAAGCCCTGAGAACCCCAGAAGCCCGACTCACCCGGACCCCAAACCCTAATCCCCAAACCCCTAAGCCCAATACCCTTGAACCCCAAACCATGAGCCACAGAACTATAAACACTGAACCCCGAACCCCAAGCTTTGCATCTTGTAGCTTGTGAGGACGATAATCTCCCTCCTGAGGATGGTTGGGAGACCGCCGTGCTTCAGCTACAAGGGGGGGTGGGGGATTGTCTGAAATCTACCGGCCAGTTGCTTTCTTGTTTTGGGGGCGGTAGGGGGGGGGAAGGATTTAGATGGAGGCTGCGTGCTCCATAAAGAGGTGTATAAGGTAGTGTAGGGTTGGTTATTCAAGGTTTTCTATTGGCGGTGCGTCAAAATCTGAATCTCCTACAGAAAGTTTAGAATCTAGAACAGTGCATTTGGATACGCGCTTCGGTTGGGAGGTTCTAGGGTGTAACTTTGCATGGAAGCATGACATCAAGACTCCAAGCACGAACAGATCACCACGGTTGCCTGTAGGTCCCAAAGACAGGGGATTTCCACATCCCAACTCGCACTAGACTGAGGGACTGAACGCTGTGATCTTGGCTGCTGTGCGCATCATCGAGTCGTTTACTTCCGTGGGCCCTCTGTTCCGTTTTGGAGTCTTAGGTTGAATTACCAATGCCAAAAACTCTTCAGGGAGCCCCTTTTATTCCGAGGGTACGGGGGGTCCATGTTTACGAAATGTCACACTGTTCTGACAGGAATTAAACATCGCTGAGAGTGTAAGGTGTTTCTGTCTACTTTCCGAGAAGCCCCGTACCCTCTGGGAGATATAACCGCTCATGGTTTCTTTCAGATCGCCCGAAGCCAAAGAAGCTATGAGTCGTGACGCTTAAACCGCATATAGCCTCCAGACCTTTGCAAGGCCTTTCAAAATCCTGATATGGGCCCTAGAGAGCCCTTAGCACCTCAAGCCGAAACTCGTAAGCCCTAAGCCCTAAACCTTCAACTCTACAAGCCTAAAGCCCTGAATCCGTACCTAAAGCGAACTCACACCATTTCCGAGGATCCTGGTGGATACTCCTGGACGAAGGATCCGTCTCAAAAACCTGTTTTGTTGTTCGCAGGGTTTGTCGGGTATTGCAGACTGTTGTTCTTGCTGACAGGTCTCAGGGTGTTACAGGGTTTATTCATGGGCCCTTTGAGTAGGGTTTGGGGGCTTCTAGGGTTGAGTTGTTATTTTATGTGGTTAGCTTTTTGCGGATCTAAGGCTTGTTTGGTTGATGTGTCTATATAGGTGTAGAATGTGAGGTTGGTCGGAGTTGCGGATTTAGGGATACCTAAGTACCTTTCGGGCTTCCAGTGGTTTTCGGGTGCTTGTGGGTTTAGGGTCTATAGGGCTTCGGGGTTTCGGCTGAGACTTACTTGATCGTGAAAACTATTTCCGTTGAGCACCTTCACGTCAGACCCTGAGCCAAAGGTCCGCTAAACCGCAACACAAGCTACAAGCCACCTATACAGCTGCTTAGCAATCCTTCCTACACCCAAATCAAGACCACACAAAAAATCCCGAGTACCGCAACCTGAAGTCCGAATCCCAACCCCGAAACCCTCAACATGCTCCAGTATAGACCCGAAGCACTAGAGTCTTTTTCTGATACGGACCTGTATGTAAGAGACGTCTTAATCCAACAACCGCAGATCGCATTAAACCTAAACCCTACCAAACGCTGAACCCTACAAAACCTAAAGAAACCCCCACAACAGGATAATCGAGCCTATAAACCCTTAAGCGCCTTACAAAATCCGCTGGCTTCTAAAGAGGGAAAGCTACCGGCAAGAGGATGCCTCTGGCTTCTACAGTCCTTCGGCGCGCTCCACGCGCATGAGAGCTTTGGATATGTCTGAGAGCGAGCGGCTGGGACGAGAGCTATGCTACGCGGTTTAGCGCGTCGGGCTTCAAGGTATACGGCTGAGATTTTGTCAGGGTTTAGGGTGAAGCTTACATGCCATGTGCCCCTATCCGTAAGTGCTCTATACCCCTTCATCCCTCGAAGCCATGGCCCGGCCATGGACCTCGAAGCTCAGGCTCTCAGGACAAAAGGCCTCGGAGTCGTTTCGCAAGCCCAATCCCCACCTTGAGCCTTGAGCTCTCAAGCACCCCGCCCTTCGAACAAACAACCAGCAAACTTCTACAGAGCCTGATGTCGTAGACAAGCCTACACCCCACGCGACGAAAACCCTGGACCCTAGCCAGCCCTTCACCCACCGAAAAGTCAAACCTTCCAACACCCTGCAAAGAACCCCAACAGGATCCGGGAGCAAGAAAGCTTAAACTGAACCCCTTAAACTCTGAACCCCTAACACCCCAGACTCCTAAGCTCTAAACCCAAAGGATAAAATCCCTAAACCCTGAACCTTGAAGCGGCTTGCCGGGCAGCGGGCCAGTATGCCCTGAACCCTAACTTGCAAGGTCCAAGGAGGCCCAGCAATTAGATACTTGGGCGGTTGTCAAAATTATGATCCCTTTTTGGGTCCCTACTATAATACGGCACCTAATATTGAGGGTACCCAACAAGGGGCCCTAATTTTGACAACCACCCACTTAGTGTTTCGGATAGTATATGCCGGTTACCACTTGGCAGAGTATGTATAATATGATATTTAGGTGCTTGCACTTAGTTTCGGGTGTTCGTGTAGGCCACCAGGTGGGAGAGTATATGATAGTTCGGAACTTGTAGGTTTGGGGTATTCGTGTAGGTTACCACTTGGGAGAGTGGAATCTGATAGTTAGGTACTTGGACCCGGAGCCAAACCCTAAACCCTAAACCCTGAACCCTAAAACCCGAAAACGCATAATCTGACAGCTAGGTACTTGGACCCGGGCCCTAACTTGCAAGGTCCAAGGAGGCCCTGGATCGCGTGAAGCTGGAGTCCCTCCGGGGCGCTGTGGTGGGGCAGGCTCGGGGTCCCTCATAAGGGTTCCTAGAAGGGTTTCCAGAAGGGTTCCTTTAATGGTTCCTGCGATGACTCCTCGAAGGATTTTCGCTGTAAGGGTTTAGGTCTAGGGCCGTTTAGGGGTTTCGCTTTTCTTGCTGTGGTCTTTGTGGTTGTGGAGGTCTTGGTGTTCAGGGGTTTAGGGATTACAGCTTTTAGGGCCTCGGGGTTTTGGGTTCAGGCGTTGGGTCGTGGGTTTGGGCTTTAGGGTGTGTTTCCTAAGCTCCGCCAAGCCCGAAACCCTTAAAAGCATTAACTTAAGCCCGACAGAACGGCCCGATGAACCAACCGCAAGGCATTTTGCGAAAACATCGCAATCCTTAGACCCCAAACACCCGAAGAATTTCGGCAGTTTGTAGGGGTTTGGGGTCAATCTCGGATTCCAAGTGCCGACTGTGCAGCAGCGGCCAGCCCGGCCCTCCACCCGAAACCGGAAACCCTGAACCGTGTAGCTCGGGGAAGGAGTCACGAGTTGGAGGCTAGAGGAGCAGCGTATTTGCTTTTGCTCAGGTCTAGTTGTACTGAAGGCTGATTTGGCCATAGGGTTTGGGGTTCTAGGCTGGCTTCTGGTTGATGCCGGTATATGAGAGCTGTTGAAGCCAAGGGTATCCACTAAATTATCTCATGATGTGCTTTGTAGCCCGAAAACCCGACCCTTGTGCCGGACTTCTAAAAACCCAGTGAACACCTACATAGGCCCTATTTTCCATCCCGAAAGCCGGACTTCGAAAGGCCAGGGAAAATTTTCAAAAAAGCCCTGCAAGGCCCTAAACCCTGAACTCCTAAACTCTGTAAGCCCAAAGCCTTAAAAGCTATAAGCCCTTCAAGCCTGTAAGCCCTAGGCCCTACGAAGCCCAGGCCCTTAATTTCGTTCTCACCAGGATCCAGAGGTGTCCAAGCACTTCTGCTCTTTGGTGGCCTCTATTTTGGCTCTGAAAGCACGGGTTTTGGGGTGTTATTTAGGGTCTTGGATGCAATGTTGGTTTCGTGTTCCTTCTACGGTTTACGGTTTTGAAGCTTGGGGCATTGTATGGTTTAGGGCGTTAGTGCGCCAGCGCTTTAGTTGGGGGTTGATGGTTTCTGTTTCGGTCTTTAGTGCTTTCGGGTTTAGGCTTAGGGCTTAGAGTTTATCAAGGGTTTTGTAGCTTTAGGCCCTTAGGGTTTTAGGTTTTAAGTTTTTACGTCTTGGTGGGTGTGTAGGGTTTAGGGACTTTGTTAGGGCTTTAGGGCGTTAGGGTTTTGGGGTTTACGACTTGAGGGATTTGCGATTCAGATTTTTGCAGGGGTGGGTGTAGGTTGTTAATTACGGATTGACAGTGCGGATGGCTCATTATGCTAAGGGTTGAGGCTTCGGATGTGCTTCTAACGTCTCGGAGCTTCGGGTCCAGTAAACTGTTAAACGGTCCGGCTTCCTCCACACTGACCTCGCCTCCGGGTAGCCCACCCCTCCCGACAAGCAAAACCAGCGGATGAATCAGCAAGCGCGCACTATATAGTTTGTATTGAACCTTTAGACCCAAGGTTATACATACACATGAGCATCACGATCCGCCTACTTTGTCAAGCCTCCCACCAGGTCTGTCTCTATGAAAAACTGTCAGCAACGGAGCGCAGGGCTTTGGGAAGTTTGGCGTTTGGAGAGGGTTTGTGGTGTTCTAGGAAGCCTTGGAAGTCCAGGTCGACTGCGATGCCTGGCTTGGTGTGGCCGTGAAGACGACCCCGATATCTGCCAGACCCCAGCATCGAAACATCAAATGTTGCGCCAACATCGGCGCTGCTGGTGGCGTTGTGGGCCATGTCATGGTCGTGCTTCTTGGCCCGAGAAGGGCTATCTACAAAGTGGTCGGCGAACCTTGTCTTGAAGAGACAGGATTGTCAACCCCGGGGAGAAGCTTCAAGATTGGCTAGCCCGCGACGAGTGGTCAGAGTTGGAGTTTTGGGCAGCTTGCAGAATCGCCCGCAGCTGCCTTGATCCGAAGCTGCTGGTCGAGAGTTGCGGGTAACCGGGCGGTTCCCGTAGCAAGCCGACCTGCACGTGCGCCCCCCCACCACACTGCCTGCAGCTCTGCATCGCTAGGTCTCTCAGTGGGCCCTTTTTCCCTTTTTTGCCATTGTGGGTCTGCCTTACAAAAGTGCCCAACACCAAAACGGGAGCCCTTTTATTCCTAGAGGGGAGATCCTAGATCCCTGTAAGCCCTAAATAGACACATCCTACTCTCTTCGCCGTACCCTATACCCTAAACCCCTCAATCCTAGACAACCCCTAAACCCCAAACCCCCAAACCCCAAAACCCTAAAGCCTAAAGCCACGTAAGGTCATTTCTTCATCCTTTTGGCTTTGGAACTCATGGCGGAGGCTGACTGCTTCATGTCTTTCGGCTTTTCTGAGGCTTAGGGCAGTTGGGTTTCGGGCTTAAGGACCTTATTGGGGTTTAGGGTTTACGGTTTAGGGTTTAGAGTTTAGGAATTAAGGGTTTCGGGATGGCGTCCGCTTCATTCCTTTGGTGGCTGAAACCACAGGTGCATGGGAACCGGAAGCTTGCAAAGTTCTTGCCCACATCTCTAAAGCGGTGGCGGCTCGCGAGGGAGCTGCTCCCGCATCATTGCATGCAGAACTCTTGCAAGAGCTTTCCGTGGCTGCCAGAAGCTTCCGGGCTCGAGCGACCCTGCGGCGCCGTGCCGAGCTGAGTGAACAGGCCGATCCCGGCCCTGCGGCGGCAGCTGCCGCGCTTCTCTCTGCAACTCAGTGAAGTTTGTCACCTCGGCCTGCTATGTCTGCTTCGAGAGTAACTCGCGCTCCTCTTCAACTGCGCAGGGTACATGGTCTCTCCGGCTCACCTGAATCCGACACAGCGACGTCGCTCTCCATTTTTACTTCCGTCGTGCCGCAGTCTCGCTGCTTCTTTCTGCACAGCTGGGGAGTGCATGAGGCACTGCTGTGACCCTGCCGCTCTTTGCTGACTTGGTCCCAGGTAGACTAGTTTGTGTTTCTGTATTCTGTTATCAAGGCTACTGTACCATAAAGGGTACCATCAGCGTATTCTATCGACAGCCTTGCCTGGTTCTCAACCTTCGAGTCTTGCCAAGACCTCAGGTGAAGGTTTAGGGCTTTGCCCATGGGTTAAGGTTTCAGGGTTCAATGTTTATAGGGCTTTGGGTTTTAGGTTTCAGGGCTTAGGGTTTATAGGGCTTTGGGTTTAGGGTTCAGGGCTTGAGGTTTGTGAGGAGTCATGTTTGAGGCCTTGGAGGGTTCGTAAATTTCGGATGTGAAGAGCAGTCTAGATATGGAAAACTGATGATTCCTATGAATTCAAGTAGCGAGTTTAAGGAGCATATTAGAACACGCCGATGCCCTTAGAATTGAAAGCATTGAGATTGCTGAAACAGACCCCGTCGGATACGACGAAAGCGAAGAACCATTACAACAAGGCAACGGCATAAGCACATATTACAGATACATTCAAACCGAAGTCAATGCCGAAGCGGACTGTGAAAGAAACACTACACAAACAAAGATGTAGAGAAAACGAATGTTGGATAAATGCTTTGCTTGAAAACTTTGAGGAACTAACCTAGCAGAGAAAAAGCGACAACACAAGAGTACAACCACACCGACCCGTGATAAAAGTCCTTGAGCTGCTGAACATGACAGAAGAAGAATGTATTGATACAGGGGCGACTATAAACCAAATGGGTAAGGTTTGTAAATTCTTCATTATACCAGTTAGATTATACAGCTTTACAGGTGCTTTGTTTTATGAATACAACCCCGACAATTATGAGAAGGGGCGAGTAAAGAATATTCAGAGGACTTGTTTAAACATAAACAAATTTGAATGTTCAACCATGGTATAGAGACATTAAGACAAGTTCAGCCGAAGGGCAAATACAATGCATTACAGCAAACAAGCTTCACATCACCGATAAGACCGAATCTGTTGAATACAAAATGTTTGATAATGTAGATGAAGTGAATATTACCGATAAGGAAGACTATGCCCTGATACATTCCGACAATGATTTAGTCAAGGTCTTCCACCAACTGAAAGCCGCAGGATACAAACGGAATATTAACTACCAAGCAAAGGAGGATGACGAACATCTCATGTAAGCTTTTTCCAAAAGGTTGAAGAAATTCATTAACTACACATTGTCCCACAGTGTTTATCACAAGAGCGACTGGATGAAGACATCATAACTCATAGTGAAGAGGTATTTTAAAAGCCATTAACATGAGGGAGTCCGACATCTCCCAGAGTTATATTTTTTGGGGTTTTTCTACTAGGGCCTTACCCCACACCTCATATTAGGATATTGGTTGTAGAACGGGTTATGGATAGTTTAGGTTTAGGTGCTTTGGATTTTGGGTTGCGTTATGGATGATTGTATTGGTTTTGGGGGATCGCTTTGTTTCGGTGTTATTGTATTGGTTTTGGGAGGTGCTTTGTGTTTTGTGGGATTTAAGGGTTGAACTGTTAGGCGGGTTGGGAAATGGGATGAAAGCGTAGGGGGGCGTATAGGATGTGAGGTGTGGGGTTAGGGCGGTGCTTCTGATTTTGTGTTGTGCTTTGGGGTTTGGTGTTGTGTTGGGAGGTGCTTTGTGTGTTGGATTGTATTCGGGATTTCGGTGTGGGATTTGGGAGGTGCTTGTGTATTGTGGTTTTGGAAGTGTTGATTTAGTAGGCGGATTGAGAAATGGGGTGAAAGTGCATATATAGGTGGGAGTATAGGATGATAGGTGTGGGTGTTAGCATCTGCTTACTAAAACTACCCAAAGCCCGATGCTGAACTCCGAAACCCAAAGCCCCAGACCCCAAAGCCGTGAGCCCCAACCCCTAACCCAAAGCCCCATGCTAGCCCGAAACCCACAGTCCCAGACGCTAAACCCAAAGCCCTATGCTAAACCCCCAAGTCTACGCAAAGCCATAGACCCTAAACCCTAAGCCCTGTTTTGAACCCCGAAACCCAAAGCCCTAGACCCTATACCCCAAAGTTCTGCGGAGCACACATAAGGGAACCCTTAAAACCAGAAGACAAACCCTAAAGCTTTGAAGAGGTGCAAAACTTCCGGTCGCGCTGGCACTTCCGGACCCTCCAAGAGTTGGCTGCTCGACCAGAGACCCGAAACACTCTACCATAAGGGATCCTTCAGGGCTTTTTCTAAAGGGAGCTATAGGGTTTAGGGTTTAAGTACTAGATGGGGCCGTAGTGATTACCTGGACTATTTGGGGGTTTTTAGTATAATCGTAGAATAATGGGCACCAAAACCAAATTCTACTTTTTAAGGCCCCCATATTGGAAGGTTTGAGGCTTCAGGATTTAAGAATTAGGGTTGACAGTTTAGGGTTCCGGGTTGTAGGTTTTAAGGGTTGGCAGTTTAGAGTTCAGAGTTTCAAGTATTTAGGGTTCGCAGTTCAGGTGTTCTGGGCTTAAGGTTTAGGGTCGACAGTCTTCGGTTTGAGGGTTGTCAGCTTAGGGTTCAGGTCAGAGCTTAGGGCTGCGGTCTACAGTGTCTACAGTTTAGGGACGGGGTTTAGCCGGCTTCGGGTGTACATTATGGGTTTATTACATAGGCTTATGGTTAAGGTTTAGGGTATAAGGGTTTGGGGTTGGGTAGGGGTGTTAAGGTTTACTGGCAGCCAAAAGCCTGCCGAAAGCTTAGTAGTAACCCCGCTAAAGCTCTAGACGGGAACAGAGGCTGTTTCAGAGTCTCGTAAGGGTTTCGGAGGGTGTCGAGCCCCAAGAGACCAGTAAAAACATAAAGGTCGCACAAGCCCTAGAACCCCGTTAATGTTGCTGGGGCCGTTCCCTCACTCTCAGAACTTTTGTGCTGATGGCGTGTTTTGGGTGGCCTTGAGGAAACACCGAGCCCGCAATGCAAGAGCCTACGTCCTGCTTCTCCAGAATTAAAGAAAGCCTGGCAGTTTTTGAGTCACCGCGCAAGCTCTAAAATTAAGAAGTCCTAAAGCGGGCTTATCTGGAAGGGGCACTTTACGGATTTGTGTAGAGGCTTTACTAATATGTTTGGGCCTTAGGACCTTAAACGCTGGCAAGATCTCGTTCGGCGCAGAGCACCCGAAACCCTGGGGTTGAGGCTTTAGGATATTCTGCTATAGTCAGTTATCTTCGGGGATGCTAGTGGGCACGACCAGGCTTCATGTGATTACTGTATGAGGCATCTGGACCCTTTACGGTCAGGACAAGCCATGCAAGTTTTCTCTCCTCGGTTCTTTAGGGTTATGAAAGAAATCAGGAAACTAGTCCAACTAGTCATCGAAGCCCCGACAGTAGCACTAGCTCTGCTGTCTGGCGTCGGTGCTACCTAACGTGGATTTATGTCAAGATTTTCGGGTTCAGGTTTAGGATCCCTGTTTAGTTGCCCGGCTTCAGGGGCGGATCAGATCACAGCACGGCAACCGGATAAAGACTCACAATTGATGGTCTGGGTAGGTTAGAGTGTTGGATGTAGTGCGTAGAGTTTCGTTCTTAGGGTCCGGGGTCTTATGTTACGTTTCGGGTTCCCTTCCCACGAGTATCGAAGCCCTACATCCTCCAGCCGAATTAAAAGCACTAGCAAGGTCAAATTTGGCTTGGCCCTGGATAGCAGGCACGTCTGTCTCATATTGTATTACATGTTCTGTTGTTGTTTTACATGTTCAAGCGCTTGTCCTTTATCTTATCCTGCCTTATCTTACCCCATCTTGTGGTGTCTTAGCTTATCTTATCCTACATCATATTTCGTTCTATTATCTTCTGTTCTCGTCTCGTCTATTCTCGTGTCTTGTCTTATCTTGAATTATCTGTCATTGCATCCCGTATTCTTATACCTTCTCTCTTGTTAGTAATGTGAAATGAACTTATGCTATACTATGTTCGGAGATCGTATGTTCTGTTGGGCTTGTATTGTCTGTAGTGGGGGTTTGGGCGCGGGGATTGGAGCCGGGGCTTCGGTGCTTCAATTGCTTCGGCCGGGTTGGGGGTTTGGGGGTTTTCATTTTAGGTTCAGGGTCTGCTGCTTGCGGTTCAGGGCGTGGGTTTTGAGGTGTTCAAGGCAACTGTTGCTTGGTATGTAGGGGAGTACACTGCAGCAAATGAAGCAAAAGAAGCAGTCAGTCAATCAATCACTCGCTTTCTCAGCTCATGGAGCCCGTGCGCCGGCGTAAACCCCAGGACTGAAGAAAGATAGCACCCGGCTGGCTTCTGTGAACCCTGAGGCATTTTTTTTTATTGTTCAGAGCTCCATCTTGCGGAGGCCGTACACCTGACATCTCACAAGGCCTAGAGCCTTGCAGTCCTTAGTGTTGAAGTTTCAGACATCATGTCCGACTGTGGAAGGCGTGTGGAATGGCGCTCTGGTGCGCGGGATGATCGTCGCTTGGACATGATATTCAACAAACCCGAGACCATGGGAATGACGGCTGTAATCTCAAGGTTCAAAGCACTGCCCAACCCCAATAGAATTAATTATGGTGTTTTTGTTGCTCTTTCGACAACATCCGTTCTCATCCGACTTCGTTATGTACTCAATGCTTAAAGGTGTTACTTGTAGCACAGGGTCCCTATACTTAAGGGTGTCAGCACAGATCATTTTCAGTTACAGGAGGGTTCGGCATTACAGGGACCCTCTACAACCTTAGACCTTCAAACCATGAACCTTGAGTCGTAAACTTTCGAAAGCCCCCAAACCCCCAATCCTGAAGCCCGAAACCCTAAACCCTAAACCCTAAACCCTAAACCCGAAACCCTAAACCCTAAACCTAAACCCGAAAGCTCCTCGACACCTGAGGGGGGCAGCCACCTTTGCCGGGCTGGCCGACGGCGGGTCAGGAAGAGGTGGATCTTCTTCTAAGGCGTTCTGGGTTTAAGGGTTTAGTGATGTTTAGGGGTTTAGGGTTTAAGAACTTAGGGTTAAGCGGATGTTGTTGGGCTTCTATGACATCTATGACAGGTTCAGAAGGGCTGTCCAGGTTCTAGCCCGTTCTAGCAGTGTCTTTAGTACGTCTTTCTGTTTTGGTGCTGTCGTTGAGTTTCTCTGGAGTTTTCCAAGTTCCAGTGCAACTTGGGATCGAGTTGTTAGTGTGTCGGTTTCAGGGTTCAGGTTTAGGGTTTCGTGGGTGAATGTGCCATGGGGCTTGTGGTTTGGGGGTTGGGGATTGGTGGGCTGAGTGAGATGGACCGGTTTAGCGTACGTTTCAGGGGTTTGTTAGGTGAGACTGTTGTTGTCCCTAAGGGTCCATGTGCCCAAAGAGTAAGTACTTTGGCCCCAAAGTGACTTTTTAAGGATTGGCTCCAAAGTGACTACTTTAAGGCCAAAGTACATACTATTTGGGTACATCGGGGTTCTTTTGCTTCCAACATGCCTGCGCCGGACGGGATTGGTACCCTCTGCTAAACCCTAAACCGTAAACTGCAAGGACCTGACACCCAGTGGTTAAAACCAAACGGCTTTCTCGTCGTTCCCGCTTTCACCCGAACCCGGAATTCCAGGAGCTTTGACATATAGCCTGAAGACCTTGCACCCCAAAACTCAAAAAGGACCCGTAGGGCTACGTTTATTGCACAATGAATCCCCCACTGTAAGGCCCCTGCAGGTGCACTTTTCTTTGGGGCCACACGCGACCGAGGCCTGCAGCAGGGCCCTAAACCCAAGTCCTCTTCCCGAAATCCTAAATCCCCAACCTTAAGCCTTACTAAATCCTAAGGCTAAGCATGAAACCCTATTAAGCCTTAAATCCTAAGCCCTAAGGAGGTGGTACAGTAGCATTCCAGGTTCTGGTTTGAGATTTGCGGCTTCGGTCTCAAGGTTTCCCAGGTCAAAATCTTCGGCTTGAGGATTTCGAGCCTGAATAATTGCCTAGACCTTCCGTCATCCCTTAGTTCAGGACTACACATGTACCTTAAAACATATTTGTGATCCTATTTTATATCCGCAAAACCAGGCCCCTCAACCCTAAACCTTAAGACTTGCAAGCCTTAACTTATATCACCAATAACCCCAGGACCGTACAAGTTACTGGGTTTTGGTTTTAGTGTTTAGGGTTCGGGGTCTAGGGCCGAAGGGGAAAAACTGAAACCTAATCTAAGTCCTGCACCTTGCAATTCTGAACCCCAGATCCTTACAGTGGTATTCCACCCGTCCAAACCTACACCCTTTAAGCCCTATACCCCACAGAGGCCTAAAGCCCCAAAGCCCTAAACCCCCCCTAAAAACCCTAAAGCCCTTGGTCCTTGAATCTAAACCACGAAACCATAGAAACCCTAAGCCCTAAACCCTAAACCCCTAAACCCTAAACCCTAAACCCCTAAACCCTAAACCCTAAACCATAAACCCTAAAGCCCTAACCAAGAGCAGGAGCGCAGCCAGTTCAAGGCTGGCGAGCAAGTGCTCATTTCTCGTGGGGATCCACTGAAGAATCGTGCTCCTGGCCTATGAAATTTATAGTTTATAAAGTCCAATAAGGGTTTAACAACTTAAGGATTCAATTGTTTAAGGGCTCTGGGGTTTAAGGCATAAGCGTTCCAGTGTTGAAGGGCTCTAGAGCCTCAGGATTTCAGGGGTTGGGGTTCAGGGGCTTCGAGTTTGGCTGGAGTGAAGGCCTCTAGAGTTCGGAATTCAGCTTCATGGTTTCGGTTATTGTCTTGAGGCTTATGGATTTCTAGGTTGGCTTGTTTAGGGGGCAGGGTAGGGTTCCACAGAATAAATATCTTGTCCAGAGCTCCTCTTCGCCCTTTTCGCCCCTATGGGGTCTGGACAACTACCCTTTCAGAGTCTGAAGAGGCAGCTTTAGGCTTGGCTGGGTTCTGATAGCTTGTGCAGACAAGGGCTGGAGACTAGCAACAATTATAACCGCAAAATCAAGCAACCCTATTCACTTTGTTATGTAGGCCGTTTTGTCCGCCTGTTGGAGGACAGCCGTGGGCCTCCAATGTTTCGTTCCGAGATGCTGTAAACCCCTCCATTGGCGACGTGGACATAGGATCAGAGGCCTCGTGTCCATAAGCTCTATTCTCGGATGCAGTAAGTAGCCCTAAAGTAGGTTTTGATTTGGGGTGTTGTGAATCGTAAAACTTACAACCCTAAGCCGTGAATCCCCAAGTCTAGGTCCACCACCTCAGACTCCAGACCCGAACGCTAAGCCCGCCAGAATCGAGCACGCGCAAAGGTTTGCGAAGGAAGCGTCCGGGAAGTGGACTTCATAGGTGGGCTGTTGACCAAAGTCCTGCATTGCAGGCTGAGTAAGCGGTCGCTCGATTCGGAAACTTACTATTCAACGCTCGCCCCTCTCATGCCTTACCTAATCCTCAAATCCAATAACCTCAGCCCTGCCTAGATACCCACTCTTTCATAGTGCGGAACCCGACAAGGACTTTGGAATTTGAGAGACCTCCACATACGCGACAGACTATTTAAACAATTGTGTCTGCCTCGGCCCATTGTGCGATCTGAAGCCCGTCTCAAGCTTTAGAGGTCTTTCCGAAGTGGTCTGGGCCTCCCAGTCCAAGGAATTCGGGTTCCGGCGATGAGGGTGTCGGGATTTTGGGGGGGATGCCAGCTCAAGCGGTCATTTTCAGAGCTAACAGTGGCATTTAGCGGCTTCTGTTCCAGCAACCCTAACTCCCCTCGCCTGAAAAGTAGGATCGTGTAGTTGTAGGGCAAAGCTCGTGAAGCGGCTGATAGTGACTGATAGTGGGAGGCATCGGTTTTGGTAAACCTTGATTCCTAACAAAACCCCGGCGCGATAACCTCGAGAAACCCTGAATCGGCACCCTCAAACCTGTAAACAACCCTGAAGCCTTACCAGACCCGAAAGCCCTCAGGCCCGAAACCCCCAAAGTCAAAAGCCCACGCCTCAAACACCCTTGAAGGAACCCAAACTCCAGAGTGAGGGAGCCCTTAAAGGAAACCCTTGGAGACACCCCTTATGGAGGTCGGGTGATGATCGTGTCCGTGAATGGGAAGATGCCGGAAGATCCCTGGATGGTCCGGAGATACCGCATTGACAAGCAGCTGGTCGCAAGTTAGGGTTGAGGGTTCAGGGGGTAGGGCCTTGGGGGCTTTGAGGGTTTCAGGGTTTATGGTTTAGCAGTTGAGGGTTTAGGTTTATAGTATTAAGGGTTTAGCAAATTAGGACCTCGGGATGGAAGGCTTAGCTGCAGTTCGTTTGCATCGATAGCCGCGTCGGTTGCAGAGGGTTTCAGGCTTTAGTCGGTTGTCCCGGATTTCATGAAAGGGTTTAGCAGCTACCAGTAGCAGAGCTTTAGAGCCTCGTAAGGAGTAGGGTAAGAGGCTCAGAGGGCTCAAGATTGTTCACTTAGGGTATTTAGACCTTGGGGCACAGGGTCCGGATGGTTGGCTTACCTACTTGGAGGCTTCGGTTTTGGGGCGCGGAAAACCGGAATCGAAGCTTTGCTTAGCCACGAGGGTTTAGGCGTGCGGGTCTAGGGGATAGCATTTAGGCTGCAGGGTTTAGGCAGTAGCGTTTAGGCCGGTCGGTTTCGGATTCAGATCTTGACCCAAACCTGCGGACCCCAAACAACAGACCCAAGCCGGTAAACGCTCGTGCGCAGACCTAACAAGTTCAACACGCCTAAGCTGAGCTCGAAACTCTGAGCCACAACTTATCGAAATCGTAGGCTCAGGCTGTCAAGATTACAACTGGGGTATTCCTACGTATACTTTGCCAACACTGAGCTCCCTCATCCTTGAAGTAGTTGTTGTTCACGATAACGCCATGGTTTTGGGGTATGTTTTATAGTATTGCTATCAGGACTATAAGCTGCTTCATATTCTGCCCCGGAGGTATGCCAACCGAACCACCTACGAAAGACAAGTGAATGCTCTCATGCAGCCACCTGGCTTGATCGGGGAGAATGGTACACCTAGCCCAAACTTTAAAGGGCTTTAGTTGGGGTTCTATACCAGGAGTTATGAAATACCATGTTGATTTGATGTAGAACGAGTCATTAATTACCACTATGATTAGGGCAAGTTTCCCCCCGTAACGATACCAAAGACCCTTTGCGTAGAGACCCACAAAGAGGCGGCCAGAAGGATCCTCCAGTGTGACTTCACAAGCAGACCCCGACCCAAGCTGTGCCGGCACATGTATGGCAACTTGTATACACCGTTTGGATGTAGAGCTTTCGATGAATTGCTGTGGGCTGCAGGGTCGCGAGTTTAGAGTGTGTGGTTATCAATCCTTGCATTCCCGCACCACAGCCACAAGTTTACACATTATGTACGCTGTGTGATTCAATGAACTAAGTGCTTGTTGTAAGACTTTGGTGTTGTGCTTGCTGTCGGCGTATTGCTAAGGCTTGTCGTGACTTTGGGACTGTGAATGTGTGTCATGGCTATTCTGACGTTCCCAGGAACCACATATAGGGCGAACAGTTGAGTGAGAGCACCGCCCCCCCCGCCCCAGGCCCCAGGTCCCTGAAATTTGTTGTGTGCAGTACAATGCGCGCCAAAGCCCAAAGCCCTGTGCTAACCATGAAGGCCTTTACGTTAAAATCATGCTCAGGATTGATTTATTTTGCTTTCATTGGCCCAATCCCGACATGCAAACCCCCAAACCATTTACAGCTGATTGGATAAGAGCTGCAGGTGCAAAAAGGGCTCCTTATTGTAATTATCTAGGCACCTATGGCATTGACAGAATTTTCACCTCTAGCCACGAACTTCGCGTGTATACCACAACTCTAGGCTAGACGACCCAAAGACGAGCTACGAGAACAATAGACAATTGAGCGGCGTAGCCCCAAAAGTGCAGATTTGCAGCTCTGGATTCAGGGGTATATCCCTAAAAGAATTATGCTCTTTCATTTTGTCGGAGGGGCGCCGGCCCATGAAGATGCACTGATTGCATATCCGCAATTACTGTCCGTAGACGCGGACAAGGGGTATGGTACGATGTGTCACTCCTTCTCAAACAGTGTACGTGGATGTGTTCTGTTACTCAGGTTCATCATGATGGATCGGACGAAGGTTTGTGACATGCTCGTGGCTGCTGGCGTTGGGAGGCACTGGCGTGCATCCGGTGTTCAGAGTATAGGGCTTGGGGTTCAGCCGAGGGATGGGGTTGTACTGCTGCAATTGGACCTTCCTGACAGGCTTGACGAGGCCGTGGTCGAAGAAGCCGCGATCATGAAGAGGAAGATGGAAAGGAAAGGAATGGGAAAAGGCCCCGGTAGGGCTTCAGAGTTTAGAGTGTGGGGTTTGGGTTCAAGGGCTAGGAAGTTTGAGCCGGGTTTCGGATGCCGTATCTGTGCATGCTGATAACTGCAGTGTTTAAGCAGGGCTTTCATTGCATGGCAAGGTGGGTGTCGTAGGATCTGACGGTGGGTCCGGGTTGCTTGTTCAATCGACTGGTAGGGGTTTTCTCGGCTTCGAGATTTGAAGCCCGAACCCCACGGTTGCTAAACCAAAGCGCTCTACGCCCGCGCACCTCGTAATCCCTGGAAAAAATCCTAGGATAGGGTATCGCGTGCAAACCAACTTGTAACGGAGCCCAACAAGGCATAGGTAGGGACGTCCTTTTGAAATGCTTATGCTCATATCCCTTTTGGGGTGTCATGAAAGCCTGACGAGGTTACAAAGGGAAGCGGCAGACGGAGCTTGCCAAGCAAGACCAGGCTTATCTGGGTTTGAGGTTTATTGGTTTAGGGTTCAAGGGTTACTGCTGCAAGGGACCATACCCGATGATGCTCTCAGGGAGCCATAGCTGGGTTGGGGCCACAGATCGCGACTGTCGGGATATCTTTGACACATAGGCGAGGCAATTTATTTGGCTACATAGGAGGGATCTTCGGATGCCTTCTCAACCTGGATCCCTCAGAGAACCCGTGAAGCCCGAGAGAGCCTTTGTGATCAAGTGTCGAACTATGAGGAAAGCAATATATATATATATATATATATATATGAAGCGAACCTTGCGGATCCTGGTTCATGTGATATAGAAGCCCCAGTAGTTACCAATAATAGTGTTCCTCGGGGTTCCGTATAATCATGTTTGTAGTATATATGCTATACCCCAAACCCTGTTCTAGCCATCAAGGCCCCTAGTTGCTTTATACCCTTATAGAACCCTTTCACGGGAACCCTATAAAACACTTCGTGTGTTCTAGCTATAGGCCCCCAAAAGTAGGCGTTCAGGAATCAGGATGCTGTGGCTTTGCACCCCCTTGCCCCAAGCCCGAATACCAAAGCCTCGTTGAATCCTGTGAGCCCCGTAGCAACCTGCAGAGCCTAGCCTAACCACCACGGGAGCAATAACGAATGCAGCAGGAGACGAAGGACAAGACCCGATCATCTGCCCTGCTGAACTGGGATGCAGAGGAGCCTAGGGGGGTTGACAGGGATCGTATCATATAGACGCCTTACAAGACCTAACACTACTAGTCTATAGAGTTCCTTGTGTTATTTAGGGTATAATCTACCCCTGTACTGCCAGAGCCCTGGGGTCTGCACCAAGGGCTACGGCTGAAACCAGAGAGCAGCCTTTCTTTTCGATTGTAGGTTTCGGGAAGTATTCAAAGAGGGCTTAGGGCGTAGGGTGTAGAGTTTGGGGAATATTCAAAACAAGTATGAGGAATTGCACATGTTGCATATTGCCTTGTAGCCCTCCAAAAGCCGGGCAGTATCATACAATAATACAGTATCACCCCAGTTCTAATGACTCAGGCCCCTATGACCGAAACCTCCCGAAGCCCCAAATCACCCAAAGGAAATACACAACAGAGGAAAGGCACACCATTCCTGTGTGTTCACCCAGGGTCACTTGCTACTCTCCACGGCTTTCTGAAGTACTCCTGTCGCTGTTGCTATCATTTTGTCATGATATTGCAGATACTGGTGTGTCAGCATCATCAGTGCTGCAGCTGCCTTAAGCATCAAACCGCAACACCCGAACCCTGAAACCCCAAAGCCCTAAACCCATCGCTAAGTCTGCTGCTGCTATTGTCATTTTCATGTTGGATAGGACTTCTTCGACGACGAGCCCGACCAGGTGACGGAGGTCCGCGTAGATATGTGGGACGATGAAACTTGTTCAGGGGACCTTAGGCCCCAAATCTTATCAGTGAGCCATGTGGGTGCTTGTCAGAATTAGGGTCCCTTTTTGGGTCCTTAATATAGTACGGTACCTAATATTTAGGGTGCCCAAAAAAGGAGCTTAATTTTGGCAACTACCCATGTAGGCCATGCTGCGGGTTTAGGGCTTCGGTTTGAGGGTGTAGGCCTTAATCACAGTGTTGTGGCCTTGCAGTCAGGGCTCGGGTCTCAGCTTGTGGATTTATACAGCTTCAAGCTTCGGGGCTTGGGGCTTAGAGCTTAGGGCTTACGCTTAGGGCTTAGGGCTTTACTATGGCAGCATTGCACGGGCTTGGTTCAGAATGTAGGGTTTAGGGTTACGAGTCATGGCGGTCAAACGGTAAAGATCTTGCCCCGCTGTATGCATGCTGGTTCCTGCATGCGGCTTCAGAATACAACCTCGATAAAGAGTATAAGTGTGTAGTAAGAGCATGTGTACAAGGATCCGCCCACGTTGAGGGACCCGCTGCTTCAAGAAACGCCAAACAATATAAAACCCTTACTTGGCCCTATGGGGAACCCGTTCATAAACCCTTCAGTTAACTCCTCACATGCTGTGATATACGTGCGTATGCATAGTTCCTCGCACTCCTTGCGCATGTATAATTCCTAGCACGGCCATGCGGACATGGTTTGGGCACATTCTGTCAAGAGGAGAGTCGGAGTCCAGAGCTCACAGAGATCCAGGTGCAGATGCTTCTCCCTGAGCCTGAGGTAATCCCCATAAAGCCCTTGAGCCGCAGGAGTGAAGTGTAATTTTTGAGCAGCTTCCAGAGGATTCCTCAATACGGCACCCACCGCACCAAGCCCTAACTTTCTCTGAAACCCGCGCAGGAACCCAGCTAGGAGCCTTATTCTACAGCCTCCCAAAGGCGCCTCAAGAGGAGGTCCTTGCCGAGCCAGAAGAGACTGTAGAGGAGAAGGCACGGAGTTCAGGGCCTAGGGGTTGCAGGAGTTTGGGGGGTTTCGAATGTGAGGTCTGTTTGACAGGGCTCTGGGGCCTTTTGGGTTTGGGGTTCAGCGGTCTAGGTTTTACGGGTTTGCGAGGAACTAACAAATAGGACAAAGAGTCAGTCTTCGCTTTGTTCTTGGCAGCACTCCGAGCATGTTGAAAGCCAAGCTCGATAAACTATTCGCACGGACTATTGGCCCAAGCTCGACAGTCCACCTAATAATACAGGGGCCTCAATCATTAGAATGGGGGCCATCAAAATAGTATAGGTGATGTTTAAGGCCCCTCTGTTAGTTCAGGTTTGGGGGTTCAGGGTATTGGAATTGGGGTTCAGATTGTCGGTGCCAGGGTTCGGAGTTTAAGCAATACAGGGGCCCTAATAATTGCCTACACTATGTTTGGGACTCCTTCTCATAACTATAGCAGAATCTGCCCTAAACCTCATTCTAAGTAAGGCCCCCATGATATCAGATCTCAGGGTTTAGGATTTATGCAGGGCCATGGTTTCACGGGGTAGAGGCATTGCTTTCGAGTTTCGGAGCATATAGATCAACTGCTGGCGCCTTTATGGGGTGGCCGTGCTTTTTCACAGCCTAAATAACTACCTACACTATTTTGGGGGTTCCCTATTATAAAGAATGCAGAATATAATATACCCCGAAACCCTATTCCAATTATTAAGGCCCCTATGGCCCTACATTAATTGTCTAGACCTCAGATTAGGCGACAACCGTCATGCGGCTGCTCTTTGTATATAGTAGGTTCCCCCGCCTCAACCTACGGGACAGAAGCGTTAGACATCCATGACTTTGTAACGGCTGCACTTCATAATATAGGGGTCTTAAACATTACTTATACTATTTCGGGGGGTTCCGTTTATTATAGTAATTACGGTTTCATGGTGCCCCAATCATTTTTCTAAGTAATTATCAAGGCCCCTAAATTCTTGCGCCTGACCTCCTTCGCCGTAGGAGTGCAGAGAGCGGACAGTGGCTCTGGCGCACGAGGACATGGTTGACCTGTAGCCCAAACCCTACAGAATGATTCGTAGGTCATGACCCGTTGATATTAGAGGGAACTCCAGAAAGTTGGAATATGGTTTCAGGGTAGGATACCCTCTAATTTACCATAAAGGGTTTAGAAAATCATATTCCAACTTTCTGGCTTTTACCTTAAGTATGTGACGGAATGTGACCTTGCCACGACCAAGGCCTGAATGAGTGCAGGACTGTGGCAGGAACGCAATTTCCATTCCAAAAGACCACCAACATTCGCAGGCCACTGTGGTCAGAGCGCGAATCTGGAAAACCATGACGCGGCAGGGCATTGGAGATCCTACATAGGTGACTGCATACACCCAAACAATTATGCGGCTCGATGTCTGCAATCAGACCCTGAAACTTGGTCCCCCACAACACGTCAAGGAGGCGAACTATGTTGAAGATGTTTGTGTGTCTTGAGTAGAGTATTTGCGGGGGTATGTATGTGTGGGCTTGTATTTACCTTGGCTGGTTGTAAACACCTTTGCTGGTGGAGACCTTCCTGTGTCACAGCTTTCCCTTAAATTAATTAGTCACAGACTAGCTGCCCATGAACCCGCCCCATCCTGGATCGGAGACAGTTCTGAAAGGAGACGTCAGATCACTAAGCTTCAGGCCCTGCAGCATTGAAGAGCTAGGTAGGAGTAGGATTTGGCGAACGAATTCGGCAGCCTTGATACAAGAGCAACTTCAAGAAGGTTCGAGCCCAAGCACCCTAAATCCCATGCCGCGAGCACCCCCCCTCCCCATAAGAATAGTGCTGGAAAAAAACCATGGGGCATACAGCAGAATATTCTGGTGATGAAGCATTTGTATACCCTATCACCAAGACCCAAAGTCAGACCTTCATAGGAGGCCAAACGGGGTTTTAGCCTATGCATGGGGTTTGGTAGGGGTTAGGGATCCCATAATAGGGTTCATCTTAAGGAATCCCCACCCCAAGAATCTTAAACTCCCCTTTTGCCCTCCCATCACACCTGACACCAAGCAACAGGAGGCACCCGGAGTCGATCCAGATGCGCTGGAGCTGGCGAAGAGCCAGGAGGGGGCATCCGATTCTGAAGTGGCTGTATATGGGAGTTACCGAAAATAGGGGACCCTAATATAGTAGCCTTTCTATAAGGATTCCTTGATTTGGGGTTCAGCGCGTTGAGGGTTTGCATATATGTGGTTCTCCCTATTAGGGTCTCTATCGGGTTCCCAAACTATAGGTGGCATACTAAGACCAGTAGAAGTATGTAGGGGAGGTTCCAAGCCGCAACTGAAGTCTCAGACATGTGCTTTCGGGATTAGAGTTTCGCGTTGGGGGCATTGAAGGCTTAGGAGTTCCGGGTTTAAAAGTTTAGCATTTAAGGGTTCAGGGTACACCCTTCTCCTTACGTTTCGAAAGTTGGAGGTCCCTGCTTCTTGGAAACCCGAGCCCAAAAGCGATGCTTGCTTTGTTCTTTGCATCTTTGCGTATGCACGGCTGCGCTTCTCACACGGGCAGGCGTGAAAGGGTCCTAAGTACCGGTACATAGTAGAATGTCAGAATGTCTGTATTTATAGTCGGACGGCATAGGTCAAACCCGCAAGTGCAGGCCATGTCCTTGCCGAACACCTCTGCAGCACAGAAGGAGGCTTCCAAGCTGAAAAAAGGCTTTGAAAGCAGCTTTGTGGTGGCTTTACAGGGCAGTATGTGTTTGTTGGGGGACTTAGGGTTTCTTGGGGCGTTTACAGGGCTGCAGTGCTCAAGGTCTAAAGTTTGGGAGTGGGGTTGTTCAAGGGATGCTAGAGGGATATATAAGGGATCGTCAAGGAAGGATTCTACAAAGGTTTCTTGTGTCTTTCCATTAGGTGTCATACTTTACTAGTAGGCATTGTTACGTGCAGGCTGGGTGTAGGATCCGAGGATTAGGGGAATCCGGGGAAGAAGTTCGGGCCGGTTTGAGTTTTTTCGGGCCTCATGTGAGCACATTTTTTGTAGACAGTCTGCAGAGTTCGGGCGTGGGGCTGCAGGGTCTGCTGAGATCTCGGAGGAACTGTATTGCCACCTCCTGCATTGTGATTGCATACTGCGTCGCATTATACAGCTGTCTCGGGAATTCAGTGTTCGAGGCTTCCAGGTTTTGCAGCCAGTAGGCTAAACGAAACCCAAATCCTCAGAGAAGGCCCTAGAAGCAGCCAAACAAAGAACCCTAGCCTTACCGCTGCGAACCCTGTATTGCTCAAGGCCGCCAAATGAGCCCGAAATCCTTGATAATGCATGAGTTCTAAAGAACTAAACCCTATAAGCCCTAAACCTTCCCTCCAGCCCCAAATCCTGACGAGGCCATCATCAACTCCATGTCAAAGCGCCTGACCATCGTCCAGGGACCCCCAGGCACCGGCAAGACGCACACGCACCACGGCGGAACGCTACAAAGTCATGTTTGAGCATAGGGTTTTAGGTGGTTAGGATGGTTTAGCTTTCAAGTTTTTCTCGATTGCTGACTGAAGGGGTTCAGGTTTTGGGTGTAGGAGGGTTTGGGTTTCAAGTTTCCTGATCGCTGACTTAAGGGCTCTATGAGTCACTGATAAAGAGTAGAACTAGGCTCCTGATCCTGTGCCGCTTCCTGAACTATATAGATTGCTCATAGCATTAATCATTAACACCTCACAGGATGCCCTCAACCCAAACCTTGCCCTTCAGGTCTGTACGTCTGTACCTGTTTCGGGCTCAAGCTTGAATGGTTTCCGGGTTTAAGCCCCAAGTCCGCAATTTCAGGAGCACCTTGGAAAGCTCAGAGTTTTGCCTGTGCTTGGCCCGATAGCCCATGGCAGCTAAGCGCACCTGGTATACATCATGGAGCTCTGTGAAATGCTGTCGAAGCCTCCTTCTGTGAAAAAGAAAGCTAAACTAACAATAGCAATATTCATAGTATAGGAATAATCGTTACAACAACGTTAAACTCAAAGCCTGACACCCTCAACCCCACGTCTCTTGACTGAGTTCCGTTCGCATCCTGACCACGTGGGTCAAAACCATGGGCTCTTCGGGCGGCATTGGGGTGTTTCGGATTACAGTCTAGGTGTTTGGGGCCTATGAAGTTTTGATTTAGGGTTGATTCGGTTGCCGTGTGAAGTGTTGTCTTGGCGCCAAGGCGTGAATTGGGTAATATTGACTCGTCTCAGCTAATACACAAGCATTCCAGTATAGTCCCCATACATTTATCGGCTGGTACATCCTAGAAACACCCTGTTCTTACCATGACGGCGCTGTCCTGGGTGTTTGTGAAGAAGTAGGTACGTCCTGGAGAGGGCTCGCAGATGGACAGGGTGCAGGGTGCAGGGTTCCGGGTGTAAGGTTTGGGATTTTTTGTTTGGAAGTTTGCCTTGGGTAGGCTGATGTTTGAACATGTTAACATATTGGGCTGGGATTGTGGTGACCTCTGGCTGCTATCGTGCCAACTTAGGATACCGGCCCCTTCTTGCTACTTCCGAGTGCAACGTGGCCGTGGACAACATTGCCGAAGGCTGGCAGCTTCATCGTAACAAACGGATAGAAGGTTGGAGCACCATTTATCCTCGTCGGCAAAGCCTGGAGAAATCTAGAACACATCTCCCGTGCAAGTTTCGTGCAGTGCACCGAACACGCATGAGGGTCTGCGGTTCCGAAGTAATGATGTTCCCCTGTGGCCAATTAGCTTGTGCAGTAAGAGTGTAGTAATTATTACTGCGCTGAGCAGAAGCTTTGGCATTGGTAACTAGCAATTCCAGTATAACTACTAGTTTTCAGTACTGTCGTTGTCAGAGCAGGGGGTGTAAGGCTTCCTAAACACCTTATTCCGGAGGGATGTCTGTGGACTGTTCGAAGGAGCTCAAAAAGGGCCGGGGCTTGGGGCGGAGGATTGGCTCCCTGGTCTTTCTCCAAAAAACCCTGACAGTTTGATCGACAAAGTACAGAGGTACCTGACATCCTACGATTTTACATATATGGCTTAGGATTTTGGGTTTCAGGGTCCGAGACATTGCGCTATAGTGAAGTATCTCGTTGCAGCGTGCAAGCAGCAACCTGCCTTGACTCGCATTCCCCTGGCTCGAGAAGGTCTTCTTGATAACGGCATCAAGGTGGTTCGCATCGGGCGACTGGAGAAGGCAGCATGTCGGGATAGTTTCAGCACTCTTACCAGCAAGGGCGTTAAAATGAGGATCGGCTATTTTCGGAAGCTCCTATGCTTTTGCGATGCCTGAAGGGGGTTTGCAGGGTTGAGGCCTGTAACTCCCGCGCTTTCGACGCTCTGCAAACACAGCCGAAGACTCGCACCAAGGTGAGCCCGAAGCTGCAACAGGCTGGGCTCACAAACCTCATCCGGCAGAAGCGACCTTTGGTAGCACATGAATCATTGAGAGATCTTGTGGTTTGTGGTCTCGGGTTCGGTGTTCTGAGAATGTACAGTGCTACTGACATGCCCGGTACCCGGTAGGCGAAATTTGCACAAAGTACTTGGGCAGGGCTATGCAGCAACTATTCTTGCTACTGTTGCTGTTGCTGTTGCTGTTGCTGCTGCTGTTGCTTTTGCTTTTGCTTTTGCTGCTGTTGCAGCTGTTGTTGATGCTGTTGCTGCCGTTCTATTGGATAATGCAGAGGCAGAGAAGGAGGCAGCAGAGGAGCTATCAGGACGACGATAACCACTACCACGGCCACTGCTTTTTCTGTTCAGCATGGTCTTACAAGTGGGAGTTTCCGAAAATAGGGGACCCTAATATATTGCCCTAAATAGTAGGGTCTTATTATAAGGACCCCAAATAAGGCACCCCCAGTTCTCGGAAACTCCCAAGTATCTTCGTCATTGCTCAAGCCCTGGTGTTTGATTCTTGCGCTGTTTCGCGGTTCTGGGCCCATCGGCACGAAGTGAAATGCAGTCCAGCGGTGGACTTGCGGGAATCCTGACGAGTTTGCAAATGAACCACCTGCCTGAGCGCGGCACTCGCCTCCTTGGACACTGCGTTTGGATACTGTGGCCCCTTGTGCTCCACTCCGACAAGACGGTTTGACATCACAGAAGTACCGTTGAAAGCAGCTTGCTTACTAGTACCATCACATCCTGAGCTGTATTTGTCAGTATCACCGTAGTCCACAGACTCCAAGGTCTTAGACCGCATGAACTGAGTTTGCTGTGTGGGGTTTCGGGATCCTTACTGCTTCAAAGGATTTAGGGCCCTTCGACAACGTTGGCAACGCAAACTATATGAACCGTAAGCCCTACACCCCAAACCCCATAAGCCCTAAACGCGCAAACAAAAAAGCTAAACCTTAACCCCTAAAACCCCAAACCCTAAACCCTAACCCTTTTGGGCAACTTGGCATGTGACCTCACTGAAGGCGAGGAAGCGATGCTCGAAGAAGAGTTCTTGGACGAAGATGAGGCGAGCTTAGTTCAGCTTTTACTAACAGGGTCGGAATAAGAGTATGGTGGAAGAGACGCACGAAACCTTGCTCTAGTTCAATATTCGATACAAGAAAGCTCGTCAACCTAAAGCCCAAGTTTTAAAGCCCGAGTCACCAAAACCCCAAGCCACACTTCAGGAATGCAGGCTTGGGACAGCTCACCGAGCTTATATAGCCCCGAGGTTGAGAGTTCAATCAAGTACAAGATTTAGCTTGGAGATTTAATCTGCAGTCCTTTGGCTGCTGCAAGGGGATGTTGAGTTGAGTGAGGGTTTAGGTTTGAGGGTTTCGGATTTCGGGTCTAGAGTCTTGGTCTGCACTACAGGGATTTAGGCTTCGGGGCTGTCATTATGTAGAAGCCTGAATAACTTAGCAGATATTGCTCTTAAGTTTTCCTACTCTGGTTTCAGTGCCAAAAAAGTCCTTCGAGCCTTCCGGTTTTCATAAGTCCCAAAGCGCTGAACCTCGGCAAGGACCCCGGTGAGGAGCCCGAAGATCGCAATGGTGAAGAGTGGAAGGAGTGGCGGAGGCGCTAGGAGTGACAGCTTTAGGTCCTTTCAGTAGCGTTTAGGGTTTAAGGTTTAGGGCGAAAGGGCTCGTTTGGAAGGCCGCTTGGACAAGGATCCTACTGTTCGGGGTCTAGCCTGGGGACACTTATGTTTCGATGCGGCTACCAATCTATCTATCGATCCCGCCTGTCCTATGTATCCTATCTATGCTATCTATCCTATCCTTTCCATGTTATGCCATCCTATCCTATCCTATCCATCCATCATATCTATCTATACCTATCTATCAGCCGATCTATGTATCTAACATTGTCTTAGTCTAGGTAGGCCGTAGGGATTTTTGAAGAATCTGCAGGAGGTAACCCACTTTTCAGCACACTGTCGCCCTTATTAGATCGTTGCAAATCCTGACATGGCCCCTCACATGAATGCCACATTCAGCAACACATGCGCCCACTGAATATGGATGTCGGAATTATTCGTAGTGGTATCCCCTTAGAGTCTTTGTTACAATTGAAACATTCCTCGAAAGCTTACTCTAATCATCAACGCCCCCATACTCCCGAAAACTGCGAGGTTGCGGGATAAGCAGCTGCGGAAGAGAGCAGAAGAGCGGCAAAAGGAGAGGCGAGGGTTCATTTGGGCGTCTCGGGCTTTCGGCTTCAGGATTTACGGGGCTATGCAGGGTTCTTGTAGGGTTTAAGATTTCAAGTTTGGGGCTCAGGGTTCGAGAGTTCAGGGCATTGGGCTTATGCACAGTTCGAACGGCAACAGCAACAAACTGCAGCAGCAAAGATGACAGCTGTGTATGGCACTTGAAGGGCTGTTGTTACCAGCAGCAACAACAACAGCAGCAACTGTCGCCAGTTCTGAATATCATAACACCGGTCGATTTTAACAACGGGCACAATGGTACCATAGCAACAACGAAAATAAGGACGCATGATACATGTTATCCAGCTGAAAATCGTCTTGATTGGAAGCAGAAGGTCGATCGCAGTTAACCGAGCCACGAGCGCAGTCAAACTGCAACAAAAAATCGTACAGGGACAGACGGACGCGGCTTTCTGCGTTTGCTGCTTGCTTGTTCTTTCTTTGGAGGTTCGAGCGCGACAAGATTCTGGAGCAAGCGGAAGTAGCCTGCCTGGTTCCCGATTTATGGCACGTCCTGCGAGGCATCCTAAGTCGCATAATAGAAATTTAGTTGTGTTGTGAAAAGGTTTCCGGAATTTACCAGGTTTTGCGACGGGGTTCTACGAGGGTTCAAAAAAGATAGTACTGATGTCCGTGCTGGTTATACTCACTCAGCACCCGAGATTCCGACCCCTGCAAGGTGGTCCATGCGCCCCTAAACCCTATTCTAAACCCTAAACCCCAAATCCCAGATGAAGATTTATCGGATTTGGGGTTTAGCGCCCCGGGATCAGCTCCAACTCGAAACCAAAAACCTCTGAGCTTCCGCTCAGCACAAAATCATCATTCCCTAACCCTCAATGCCATAAACCTGTACCCGTAGAGAAGAACGTCTAAACTCTAAACTGGTTCATAGTCTTGCCAAATTGAATTCGCTAGACCACTATCTGCAGCTTTCACACCCTAAAGTACTCCGGTCTTTTCAGTTTATACACCAAGCCCTGGTCTTAAAGTTCACCCACTATGTAAGAATGCGTCTGAGGTGATCTGCGCAACGACCATTGCATCCGGAGGTCAGCAGCTCAATGGCTTCACCTTTCGAGGAGCTGCTGCGAATGCTTATGTTGGTTCACGTTCTGGTTTTCTCGTGGTGTTTGTATCATTATAGCTGGTTGTGTAAGTTGTTACTTCAATGTATGGGCTGTTGATGGGGTTCTACAGGGGCACTACTGAGGTTATC